CTGCGTACACATACAAGATGCCCAATATAACCAGATAACATTTGTATCGACTGTCTGCAGCGACTCATGTCAAACATCTTTTCACCGGGGAACTTCTGAAAGGGAGTGTTTGATCATCAGTATTTCTTTACGACGCTTTGAACCTGTTAAGTTCCGGGTAAGATCGATCTTCAGTAACCAATGTCTGTCGTAAGAGGCGACTAACGGGGTCGGATGGTGGGGCTCTCTTAGTTTATACGTGTCATCGTATTGCAATTGCATCGATCGATGCGTGTGATGTCAATCACTGGATTGTGTGGTCCACATTCGATTATTTACAGACCGCCCTGAAAGAGATTGGAAACGTTAAACAAATAAAATCAATAGTTCAGAAACATCATGAATTGACGCACCTGAATCAGCTTAATAAATTATGCCCATCTGACGCAATATCAACCTGACTATCTGTCTCCTATAGGCTCTAGAAGCACATTCATAATCGCTAACTATCACCAGGACATTAACAGCATGACAACATGTGGGTATATACTGTCTTGTATCAAGCCACGTGACTTCTACATGTAATCGAACATGGATCGGTGATCAATACATTCAACAACGATTCAGGTCTCCGGGGCACCCTGACACGCTATTAAGTCCCTGAATTGGACCACTCGATCAAATTCATTGCCTCCTGCGACAAGCATAGGTTGCTTGGTGCCAACAATAACCTGGAATCACCACGCTTAATATAAACAAAACAAATGAAAAGCTACACAAACAGTCTGTAAGGTGGTGTCACGCTCAGAAGCGCCATGTTGTCTATTTGCTCCTGCTGTCATCTTGATTTGATAAACGAAGGCGGAAATGAAATGAGCATATATTTGTGTCTGTACTCGAACTGACCGCTTCTGTATGCCAAACGTGACCTTTCTGCCTTTAACATCGGTCCCGGAGTTAGCTTCCCCTTGTGGGTCAGCATCCCTGACCACCCTCTGTTTGGCAACACCAGCATCTTGTGTGGGACCGTACATAATTTTTGGCAAGGGGTGGTGGTGGTGGTGGTGGTGTGATGTTGATCTTTATGGAGACACATATACAATGTGAATGACCCCCCCTCTAAAGTATATGAACAATGTAAGTGACCCCTTGCATGGCATGTACAAAATTGATGGACACCCCTCTAGTACATGTGTACAAAATTGATGACCCCCTACCTCCCCAGAACAAAATGGGTGACACCCACCTCTTAAAATCATCAGCCCCCTACCCACCCCGGCCATATGCATAAATTACGAACGGTCCTAAAAGGGTCCTAGTCAAAATGTCCACACGTCAAAATGGCCACAAAACATCCAAGTCAAAATGGCCACAAAAAGTCAAAATGGCCACAAACCCCTAGTCAAAATGGCCACACCAAAAAGTCAAAATGAACATAGAAAAAGTCAAAATGGCCACACATTATTTTTAATATTTTTTAATACTCATAACATTTTCCCATGTTGCATTATGTGATATCAAGGTGTAAAAGTGACAAAAGAAGTTATATCAAACAAAACTTGATGTTTATTACACATCAACATATCATATTTTCAACTAATAACAAGACAGATAAATGTAGGTTTTTTCTTCATGTACATGCACTTTTGTATTTGTTATATTTATATTTGTTAATATAATAATACTTCTGTCAGTCGAAAATTCTCTCAAGATAGATTATCCATTTATGTCCTCACTTGCCAAATATATAAATGTTGAATATTCATTTATATATTAGGAAGCATAATTTTGATGATTTTCCGGTTATAAGTTTAGCCCCCAAACATACCATTCTGCTTTTAATAACATTTACAAGTGGGAATATACCAAACTCGCCATATACCTTAACGTTAGATGTACCTTTCCTGAGTGATACTAAATATTTGAGAAAGCAACATTTTCAAAGCAAGAAGTATTTTCAAAACCCCAGACCTCACATGAAGATAACCTGAAATGTATAAGAACAATTACAATAAACACAGAGATTAACAATTAATTGATCAATTACGGCTTAATTAGTTAACGAGGCACTTCTGGATTCACAGCTTAATTAAGGTTACACAATGTATGTACATCTCAAAATTAAATAAGTAACAATCTCAAAGTATCAATTAAGAAAGCATTTCAAGAACAATACTCATTAATATGAAAAAAAATAATGTATGGCCATTTTGACTTTTTCTTTGGCCATTTTGACTTTTTGGCATTGCCATTTTGACTAGGGGTTGTGGCCATTTTGACTTTTTTGTGTGTGCTATTTTGACTAGGGTCAGTGTGGCCATTGTGTCGTGTGGCCATTTTGACCTGTTCCCTCCTAAAATCGTATCTACGAAAAATACCGAAATGTAATTGAAATTACCATGCTTCAGATTAAAGGATTCGAGTCATTCAACCAGCCCATGTAAAGCTATTCGTTAAGAAAGTGAAAAATATCTTTACATTTGGAATTCACGAGTCACACTTCAAAACAATAGCGAAAAAAATGTGGCGTGTTTTTGTAAAACGTCGGTTCGAATACCACTATGGGTGTCATTACATAATAGCCTGTTGATACGGCTGTCACTGACAGAGCTGAACAACTGTTAATTCGAATTTCACACCTGGAAAACAATGTGAAGCAGGCTGTTCGAGGGCACTAAAAAGAATCTAAACCCCGAACCTCAGCCGTGAAAGTCTTTGTTTTGTGAACTGCGAAAATAACTGGACACAACACTTCATTATCCTTTTCTGTGGTATAACTAGAAAAAGAGACAAGATGTTGACAGTTGTTTGTTGAAAAATTACAATATTCGGTTGAATTTTTTTTATTTTCATATCTGAGTGCGTGGGGGTGTATGTTGTACTTTTAGGCGGATTCCTTCGATGACATCGACATTTTGTCCCACATGTTGACACACTGTGATAATTTGTAACTTAAACCCAACTTCTTCACTCACAACAAACCACCGAACGAAGATTGAAGAAGTTTTAGATTTCTTCCGCAAGTTTTCTGGCCTTCTCAAACGCCAGATTTACTGTGATCGTATATGGTTTTTGATAAGTGACAAATAGAAATATTATAGTATTATTAATAATCATTATTACTTTTATTTGTGGTGGCAGTGGTGATAGTGGTGTTGTTGAAGCTACTTACAACATATTATTATTGCTGTTCTTTTAAGCAATGATTTTGAATATTGAATATATAACGTAAGAATACGATAACACTTAGCATTTGAGTACATCAACCTCTTTATTTCCAATGCACACTGATAACCAAATACTCGGTGTATCTTCAAATCGACGTTTTCAGATTTCAAATAAGTGAGCCTTCAACTTTTCAAAAAGTGTATTCCATTTGATTGGTTGTTTCTCCAGGTTCCAATATTTCATTATCCTTGTCTGAATCTTAATATGTTCCTTATAACGGTAGTACGTTCTATGTTTGTTATTGAATACCGCAAAAGTGCAGTTGTATCTACAAAAACAGCTGTCTTCTTCGAAGCTTAAGAATAAAATTAGCTTCTGAAAAAAAACCCCAAATAAACAAACTTCATTAATCAAAGTTCAAAGTAAGGTGTATGCTGACAAAGAAAGCACATTGTTCAGAAGAGGAAGCGATTTTCACCTATTGTGTTGTTCGTTGTTCGTAATGAATTTGTTGTCCTGGTAAATGTTTGTGACAGCACGCCTGTTTGCGTGCAATCAAGCATGTGTGCGGTGTAGGTGAGGCTGTAATTTCCTCCAAGCAGGGGTGGGTTGGCTAGCCAGACTGTCTAATATTGACATGTTGCTTCCTCAATAGTGAGTGAGTGAGTGAGTTTAGTTTTACGCGCCTTCAGCAATATTCCAGCGATATGACGGCGGGGTACACCAGCAATGGGTTTCACACATTGTACCCATGTGGGGAAACGAACCCGAGTCTTCAGCGTGACGAGCGAACGCTTTAACCTCTACCCAACCGCCCCGCTTCCTCAATATCCTTAGAAGGCAAAGTCATAATAGATGCAAAATTTACTTCTTACTTGATATTTGTTCAGACAACATTCACGGATACATTAGACGAAATTAAAGGTCACATGCAACGTAAAACACAACTTTGCAGATTCTGATACCTTTCGGTATGGACTTACCGAAACAAATCATCAGAAATGCAAATTCAACTTATAAAGTTGAAAAATATCGCGATGAAAAAAACCGCGCAAAACCGCGCGAAACCTGAGTTCAAACGATTCACTAATTTTCCCCCAGCGCTTGGGGGAAAAGTGGTTTCATGCAACAGCTGGGCTGCGCTGCGGTTGCAATTTGAACTTAACACCTATCAGGCTATACACCATAAACAAAACGCATTGATTTATGGTTCGAGTTCGGTCTCTGTCACATTATGTAATTACACAGACAGGCAGGTGTGATACTTGTACACATGACATGTTATGATGTCTGTTGATTGCAAAATGTTATACACAAAAAATGAGCATGTATTTCCAAAACCCAACATCTCTATATACACACACACAATGAGGCGTGAGGGCAGCGGCAAATGAACCAGCCGTTACACTTCAGTGCACACCCACCCGCTCTGACTGGGTTCGGTATCCTGGCTGCTTCTTTTCTTGAGGGAAGTAAACCCAAGTACAAAATATTGCACTTTTGATTTGCGATTGTACGCTTATAATTTTGTTTATATGTTTTTTCATAATCAGCAATGTATATTATATGTCATGAATAAGTGATAATTGTGTTTTAATTATGTTTGATTTTTTGGTTGCATGTGACCTTTAAGATGATCATGAGATAAAAGGATGATGCTGAGGGGCGATCGTGTAGTTTGGAGGTTTAAGGATTCGTTCGTCATATCAAGGTCAATGTGTGAGTCCATACTTTGGTGTTCCCACCTGTGAAATTGACAGACGCCAATCGTCATTGAAGATACTCTGTTAAAGAAGATGCCATTCACTACAATCTCCGATGTAACCACACATGATGACAACAGAAACAAGTTATTATCATTTTAGTATTTTATTGAAAAAGTAAAACATCTTACACACTGCAAAACCAGATTGGCAATGAAATGATTCGTTCTCGTTTGTGTTGCTTTGAAATGCAAGATCATCTCATAATCACGAAAATATTATTGATCAATGAAATACATGTTTGGTAGGAAAATTAGCAAAACAAATAAGGTATTTACATATGTACACAGAGATTGTATTCAGAAAACAGATATAACAAACAGGGACGGATTCCCTTTGGAGAAGGGTTGGGGGGTGCACATACATAATGAAATCCAAAGGTTAGGCACAATAGGTCCTCTGCTAATTTTTCGGGGAGAGGGTGCGTATGTTGGGGTGGGGTGGGGGTGGGGGTGGGGGTGGGGGTGGGTTGGTTTCCTGGATACGACCCTGACAAATTTAATGAAATTGTTGTCAATGTTTGAGTATTGTGAGCACTTGTCTCTGCGGTACTTCTTCATCAGCACAAGAACTGAAAGCAAGCGGCGACGATGACCGTGAGCATGACCAGGTAAGTTTGTACATCATGTCTAATGCCAGCGGCAAACATGGTTCCATTTCCGCCGTCAACAATACCCCAGTGCCATCTGTCGTCCTTGTCGAAGTACCACGGATGCTTGGGTGGGATGACGCCGACGACAACGTCGTCGGATCCGATAGCAACGTCTGCGCAACCATAAAACTGTTCTTGATTACCACAGCCGATACAGCTATTGCCATCAGAATCAGTGCCCCAACTGTTCCCGGCATTGTACTTCCACTGAAACACGCATGCGCTGCATTTGACACCTTCCGGTAATTTCAGATTGACCTCAATGTTTTGGTTACCAGACAGTGACTCTATCCTGTATTTGGTTTCCCCTGTCTCAGCCGTGGGAAGGATGTACCTATCAAGGCATTCGTGAGTCACGTTCCTGAACGGTGAGTTGCTGGGGCAAAGTCGGAATTCGAAGAAGCCCTTGTGGCTGGCGGTCAGTTGGACTTTGACCTTTATCACTTGACCAACATTGTATTTACGGACAATGATGCCTGTATAAAATTTTCCGCCTGGTTCGTTGTCACGTGGGCCCTGCCAGGGGTCGCCACAGATGCCACATTTTCCGCCATTTTTTCCATACTGAACCTGCAAAAACAATGACACATTTATTTGAACGTAAATTGTCAGCAGCTGCATAATTCCATGACATCTTGCTATTATCTTTGTCTCATTTTGACTGAATTTAAAAACAACAACATGGTAACCGAATATCGCATCATTTCTATCTCAATAATCCAATTTAGTATTGCTATCTAACGATGAACTCAGAAACATTCCAGCTATATACATCAGACTCTAAATAATCACTTATCTGATATTGTGAACAATAAAACACAAAATTGTGGGTATGGTGGCATGTCATTATCATACCTGGAACCCCAATATACTTCGTCTCTTGTTAGAACAAACATAGAGAACAAATGTTGCACGGGACGTGTTCTGTTTGAGATGGAATAGTACATCAGCAAACTTCGTGCAAACCGGAATATACATAATGATTAATATTTTCACACATATAATGTGTCTGTAAGCCCTGAGGACAAATCGTTTCCTATCCCATCCCCCGTCTCAACGTTACCATTCAGATCATTATTATAGACGCGGTTATGTCATTGACCCTGAAGATATACTCCCCATCAAACGTTTAGACTCACTACGTAGCCACTTACTTCAGTCAACTGATCTAAACTAGATTTTGCAAAATATTCTATACAGTTTAAGGGTACTGTTTACAACTGATGTATTGTAAAAACTATTCGTAACGTTGAAAAGATTATTGTCATGAGTTCAACAAATGATGAAACTGAGTGAAAATTGGCGAATACTTAACAAAACTTTACACCAAAAGGCAGCTGTTCACATGCACGATATTTGCACAATCATGCTTTTCAGCAATTTGATGCATGATCCTCGTGCAATTCATCTGCATAAGGTTTGCAGTTGGTTCCCCTAAGTTAGTGGAGAAATTCATCTTCGATGTAACCACATATAGTCAATCCCGATGAATCGAATGCCGGTGTCTCGAATATTATGCATAACTCGAAGTACCTGTCGGTCCCGACCATTCCCTGTGATAGTTGTCATAATTTGAATACCGGTTACACGAATTCGTCTCATAAATACACACGATGACCATGAGATTCAAACAACAGCAATCTTGTATACATAAGTCGAAGTCAGTCAATGAGAAGTTGATTGGTGTAGCAAACTGATCCAATTAACAAACCAGCGCGGCTCACACCTTTCCGCCATTGACGGGTGAGTTCAAAAGGCAGATTAGTGATTTTACGGAAATCTGTCTGTGCTAATTAGACTGGAACTGATAAGGTGCCCCTATTAGTGATAGGGAAATCATTAGGTAAACAAATGCTTAGGTGGAGGAATTAGGACTGGATCATCTTTTGTTCTACCCTCATAGACATACCTATGTCTCGAATACATCGATGAGTCGAATGTATTACTTGGTCCCCAGCGATTCGACTCATCGGGATTGGACTGTATATATATATACATAACATAAAGTGAGTTCTTTAAGTGAGTCTAAACTTTTGATGGGTAGTATATATCATATCTTTGATACTTCTTTAACTCGAATCGTTTACTTTGACATCTGTGAACACGTCTCCATGTTGTGATCTAACAAATATTCCCGTTAAGACTTAACTAATTCCAGTTAACTTTAACCAAACCTTCACATTTTCTTTTCAAGAATTAAAAGGTGAAAAGCTCCCCAGCAAATAGTTGGTGATATCGTAACGAGTTGACAAGAACAGGACACGATTATGCCACGTGAATGCATTAATTAGTTATCAACGCCAAAGTGCTTCTTACAGACGTTTTCCTAATACCGGGACTACACAAGAAAGATCAATTTATTTGCTATTGGATCTGCATATTGCAGGCACGCTGCACGTTGTGAACATGGGGGATTAGAAATGCAGGTAGTCACGTGAAACTGTACAAACTGTCGTGATGAGATGTATGTGACGAATGTCTTCACAAATAACACTGACATGCGTGTGTGAGGGCATATTGGCGAACACAGGTGACTAGAAGAATGACTTCTACTTCCCAGTGCTATGTCGAACAACACTCCGGCAGCTTCGAAAACACATGGAAATTATTACTTATCGTAAAAGTAAAAATACACAGTTATATTTGACAATATTTTGGCCTCTGATCTTCTTCGAATTTGGTAATGTCAGTTATGGTCTAAAAATAACCAAAATGGAATCATGCTATACACTTTCACGTTGAACGGCCAATCTGTACTAGTCAACGTTCCTCTCATTCTTCCTCTTATTCTTATATACAGCGTCTGTATTAAACATTGATAAATATATGATGACATAAATCTATAGATGCAATAACCTCATAGCTATCATTTTATCCTCAATATATGTTAGTCTTAGTATGGATGGAATTGTCATTGATGTTATTGTCTCTAAATAAATGTTATATTGTTTTAATATGTGAGTTTTATATCACTCTATTTTAGTCATTTTCCAACACTATCACTCTTTACCCTTTGTGCAGTGTATCCATGTTGGGAATCAAACAACGACCCTTGTCAGAGCAAGCAAACGCTTTGAAACACACTTTCAATAATATTTATTAGTTCGTGGACCAAAAATGTTTGGTAGGGTGAGTAACGCTAGTTCTATCGCCTAATTGCATTTCCCTGACAAACTTTCTAAATGAACACGGAGAGGTCTTAGTACACATACACATGCATATCTTAATCGTTCGTGGATGAAAATAAGAACAATGCTATTTGAACCTCGCCAATGGGTATTCTGTTGTTATCCACAGATTCTGCGGCCCCAGAAATGAATTTGTAACCACATCAAACCCGCCTGGGTTTCCACCTGAACGTAGATCATTAACACCTCCCCACCAGAAACACCTATGTTTGAATTACGTGGTATGGCTCGAAACTTCACCTGCTAGAAAGTAAGGATAAACCTTTCAATCAGTCATGGCTTATCTCAAACATATATAATATATAACACACGGAAGTATAATTCATGAATGCAAGGTATTTTGAAAACATTTGGGATTTCCCGAATGTGATAATCAAATGAAATTATCGTATCTATAATGGTCAAGTTACCCGATTCCCAGAATAAAGATCATAATATTAACATCAGAAAATTTAAAAATATTTTAGTATATATGTTTCAACTTTTCTGTTTCAAAAATATTTCTATATTGATTATTCTTAGGCTTTGACTTTGAAAATCTGTTTGCGAGTTTTGTTTGTATAATGTAATCACATTGGAAAGCTTGATATACTCAGTCTATAAATATGAACATGGAAACATTAATATCTCATTTGATTGTTTTGCTTCAAACATCCATTATATATAATTGTTAACAATGATTGTCAAACGTTTTGATGTGCTTTTTTTACGATCCTTACGTACACGTGCACTGCTAAATTCTCTGTATTTACATTTCGGGGTACCTTGCCCTATTTTCAGGCTATAAACTCCTTATTCATCAACTGGAAGGAAGACACTTTGACAGTCCTCAGCGACAATTTTCACCTGCGATAACCATAGGGCCTCCAGCTGAATACTATGTACATATTTGCCCCAGCACCCTCATAAGTGTTCCCATGTAACCCTAGGCTGAAAATGATGGCGATAGATTAACAAACATGTACTAGATTTCAGCCGAAACATGGGTGACATTCAACCACTTTGAAAATCGAAAGAAATGTAATTAAAAGACAACAGTAGACGTTTAAAAAGGAAACGTAGTGCTCCCAACCTTGAAGCTTCGAAAAAAGAATTTACACATCTTTTAGCCCTCTTGAGCTAAATATCTAATCGATGTATTCAATGCTTTGTTTTCAGTTGAGGTGGCAAAGCGCAACACATATCCTCCGAAGGGTAAATACTGGTGAACGAACGAAGCCTTTGTGTCTGACAACGGTATTCAAGCTAAGGCCGCCATGGCCATAAGTATCCGAGAACAAACCAGACACGTATTCGATACTTGGCACAGCTAGATTCACACAATGCCACGAGTTTTGGGAAACCCACAAGTCATAACAAATAGTACGAAGCGCATGCGCTGACCGCAACGAGAGTTCAGCGGTATGATCTGAATCGCTGCCCGAACACGTTTTGTTTATCTGCATTAATGCTTCTTTATCGGGGTACCTAATAAATAAACATATTGTAATATAACAGAAAAACGATTCGGAATGAACTCTAAATACTGATCATGATAGTGTCAAGTTTTATTTTCGAATATACTGTAATTTGGTGCACCATGCATTATCAGTCCCTTCTATTCTCCAAAATACAACACCTTATTCGCTCCCATTTTAAATTAAATTCCACACGTGCATTAAATAGGACATACTTTTATGTGTGATCTCAAATTAAAAGCACTATGCCTATACAAACCAACCCAAAAAGGTACGAGTGAATTTCGATCGCACGGCTTGTGTTGTTTCCGTACTCACATTTCTGTTAAAATCGCTCTGGAACGGTTGATATAAGCTTCAAACATTGTTGGAAACATGCGGATAAAATTGATGTAATAGCTGTGTTCCCTGGGCAGACTGGGATGTAACTGTATGCCTAGTCCACAACACTATCATCTGCCAGTTAAGAGAAGATGTGTTTGTGTAGATAAATATATTAACAGTGATGTGTTATCAATAATCAGTATTTAAAATGTTGTTTTTTAAGTCAAACAATTTCTTTATATTAAAGAAAGTAAACCAAAATATAGAACAGGAGTACAGTTACATCATACTGGAGAAGATAGATAATAAATATTGATGAATTGTCGATGAATACACCTGCTTGAGGTCATTTTCGAAGGTTTATCTGTCAAACATTTATACTCAGAAAAGGAATAAGGGGAGTATACCCTGAAGGCAGTTTTCAATGTTAGAACAGTACCCACTGCGTGTTTATATTCATAATGCAGAATATACACATGTATAGTTGAATAGTTAATGAATCGTTAACCACTGATGTCATTTGCATCAATTACATGAGAACCTGTGTACTTGGTTGTTAACCGTTCGGCCATCATAATAGATCTGCTCCAATTACAGACCTGTTTCAGAAGACAGAGACACAGACACATGTAGAAATGTCAAACACACTCGTTCCAGACTCGTTCCCTTCAGGATAAATCAAGTTCTTACAGCATCATGGTTGAATTTATCACAACTCTTGTGCATGTTCCAAATCTCATTCATCACCACCATACGCCTGTGTCGTGCGTCTTGACGTATACATACCTTGTGATACAGTTCAGCAAGGTTAACAGCGTTCATATATGCTACCCATCGAAAGTTTAGACTTACTAGTGTAAATGTAGCCACTTACTTCAGTCAAGTGTTTTGAACTAGATTTTGCAAAATATTCCATACTGTTTAAAGGTATTGTTTACACATGAACTGATGTATTGTAACAAATTCGTAACATTGTAAAGATTATTGTCATGAGTTCAGTAAATGATGAAACTCTTTGAAAATTGGCTAATTTTTAACAAAACTTTACACCAAAACTCAGGTGGTCACATGCATGATATTTGCGCATGCTTTTCAGCAATTTGATGCTTAATCTTCGAGCAAATTCATCTGCATAAGATTTGCAGTTGGCTTGCAGTTCCCCAAGTTAGTGGAGAAATTCATCTTCCATGTAAATATATATATATGTGTATATGATTTAAACATATTTTTATTCATGAAGATGAATTGGGATTGGTGAACAAGCATTACTGCCTATGTTAACACCGCTCCAATGCAACGTATAATACAACATGAAATGGAGGATTTGACGTCATCGATACTGACCATTGCATAAATATAATATTTTTAAATATATATAAATATAACCGGTAGTGTAAAAATACATATTAAGTCTTATCCGAGTATAGTTACGGCAAGTGAGGAAATAGTGTTGGGCGTTTTCACTCTGATGTCCACAAGAACAACAAGGGCTGTCTATTAAATGTCTGTCATACTTATCGGCGTTTAGGTCGCTACATCTGAGCCTGAGGCGGCAGTGAACGATTTGGCAAAAACGAGTGCCATAATTAAGGTCAAAGTAAATCTTATTTTCAGTTTTTGTAATTAGGTTTTTAAATTCTGTGAGACTACATGACGCTTTGGAATTTGGTAGGGCATTCCATAAATTTATTGTGGCAGGTAAAAAGGATTTAGCATAAGAGGCAGTGCGACTGTAAATTCCTAGTATTTCAGAGTTATTCCTCTAGCTGTAGTTTGTAGTTCCGGAGACGGAGTTTGGGATATGTATGTATGTATATATATATATATATATATATATATATATATATATATATATATGTGTGTGTGTGTGTGTGTGTGTGTGTGTGCGTGTGCGTGCGTGCGTGCGTGCGTGCGTGCGTATGCGTGCGTGCGTGCGTGCGTTTATATATATATGGGTGCCACAGTATATATATAAATTGAAATTTCATAGGACAAATATATACGTATACATGACCATATCCCAAACTCCGTACGTTGCCGTCCGTCAACTGAGGCAGTTGGACAAATATACTGTATTGTTACAGAGTTTGTCAAGACGAGACATGTAATGTGCCAGCACGACGTTACATTAACGTATGTCAGAAGTATGTGTAAGGGCTCGCTCGTTACCTTTGCCTCGGGTTAGAAACCGATGTTATCAATCAGATGCGTCTACGGCGTACGTAATGTACATATATATGCCCGACATATGTTTTTGTAAATGTACGTTGAAATGAAAACGCAGTAATATTAATTGTTAATATATTATAATAATATAGGAAAACAAATACTTCTGGCTGCTCTACCTGTGTGACTGTGATTCACTTTAAACAAATAATCCAGTACAAGGTATATAAATGTAATATTTCTTCGCAAAGAATATTATACGACAATATTTATTGCTTTTCATATAGCATCCAATATATTGTATTGAAAATTTGAGAAACTTCAATATTAATTTGGTTACTTTAATTATGTTTAAATGGACATAACAAATGTATACTGTGAAATTTTACTGTCATTACATTTTCATTTTATTTCATTTTATTTCATTTTATTTCATCTCATCTTCTAACCAGTTGTTGTATTGCTACATGTGTGAATAAAGGGATATTTTATTAACATTATTCATTTGAATATTTAGTTTGCACATATATTTGTAAATTTATACATGATTAATATAGAAGAGAATGAGTTTTATTTCGTGTTTCCGAGTGAAGGATCAGATCGTGACACCATCAATTGATTGCTGACGTCTGACCTGTACGTGGTGTCAATTTAGTTCTTGTGGTATGTCGGTGTCATACATTACCACTCTGTCGTAACAACATCAGCTATGTCGATAGGTCGTTTATGTCACTGATACAGTATTAACGTAGACCCATTGTCAAGATGTGATTAATTGCTACCGTACGGTTTAGATGTCAATCTACCATGTAAGTCAGTGTGTCTCCAAATGTAATTCAGTGTAATATCGTTAAACCTACCGATACGTGTATATATGTCATTTTTGTGTGTGCCTTTATGGATGCTTCTAAGTTTGTGTGTATGCTTCTCAAGGTGTGTCAGCATATGAACGCCTTTGACAGTTTGCGCTTGTGTCAGTATGCCCCTTTCGTGTGTCAATTTATGCCTGTATCTGTCGTATGTTTTGCTTAGATCTGTATGTACACATGTTACAGTTTATTCTTCTCTTTGTCAGTTTGTGATTGTGCCTGTATGTTCCTTTTTTGTGACAGTTTGTGATTCTCTTTGTCAGTTTGTGATTGTTCCTGTATGTTCCTTTGTTTGTGACAGTTTGTGCTTCTCTTTGTCTGTTTGTGATTGTTCCTGTATGTTCCTTTGTTTGTGACAGTTTGTGCTTCTCTTTGTCAGTTTGTGATTGTTCCTGTATGTTCCTTTGTTTGTGACAGTTTGTGATTCTCTTTGTCAGTTTGTGATTGTTCCTGTATGTTCCTTTGTTTGTGACAGTTTGTGATTCTCTTTGTCAGTTTATGATTGTTCCTGTATGTTCCTTTGTTTGTGGCAGCTTGTGCTTCTCTTTGTCACTTTATGATTGTTCCTGTATGTCTACATATGTGTGTTGGTTTACGGCTGTCTGTGTCAGTTTATGCACTTGCACCTGTCGGTTCATGATTGTGCCTGTATGTCCCATATGTGTGTTGGTTCAAGGCTGTCTGTGTCAGTTTATGCTTGTATCTGTATGTTACGCTTTGTATATCCCTTTATAACCATATGTGTCAAATTTATGTCTGTCTCTGTCAGTGTATGCTATTCCCAGTGTGTCCTTTTATGTCTGTCAGGACATGTCTGTCACTTTAAAAGTATATGTTTCGTAAGTTGTCAGTTTATGTCACCTCTATGTACTTTCTATCTGTTAGTTTATGGCTGTCCCTGTTAGATAATACTGCATGTCCCCACATGTGTTTTAGAATACGAATGTCTCTGTCAGCTCATGCGTCTCCTTGCCTGTTTCGTATTTAAGTGTTTGCCTCCATGTCTCTTCATGTGAGCCAGTTAATGTCGTTCTCTGACGGTATATACTTTCGCCTGTATGTCCCTCCATATGTGTCTATTTATCTCGTCGATCTGTCAGCTATTGTTTGTACTTGTATATTCAGTTCAAACCTACTGTGCCTGGGTGATTAAGATTTTCTAATCGTGAATATCCCCTTTATGTCACACAAAATAATATTACCATCAGCATGACAATGTACTTTTATTCAAGTTCCGTGTGTGGACACATTTGCTTACAGCAAAGGTTTTGGATCATGGCTTCTCCATCAAATGTCTGGTTAAGTCGTTACAGAAGGTTCATGGCAGATATTAAGATGATGTTGCATACCGCAGCCTCTACAGGATTTGATTACTCCTTTCTCACTGACTCTTTTGGTGAATCGGGTGGTCAGCCATGGTAACTTGAGCAAAACAGTCGCGCTGTCCCCCGATAAATACTAATACTGATCACTGGATTGTCTGGTCATAGCTACGTTGTTTACAGGGCGTCGTCATGATGAGTATTGTTTGAATATGGCATAAGTATTGCTGGTAAAAACCCCACATACTTCATGTTTCTGTCAAAACTTGGTGTTACTTGTAGAATAGGACACTCTTATCATTCTCTCGCCAACACCTAGTGTAAAGACTGATTTCAAGTTAACCATTCACATAATTTTTAATGTTATTTTGTCTTTTAATTAGGCCCAAATGGAACCGGAGTGGAAACTCATTTCGCCCATAATATAAACCAAGAGGCCGGTTCTCCCAAACATTTCTTTATATCCGTCAGTTTGTCATAAGCGAGTTCGGCGTATAGGTAGTACATTATCAATGAGCATTCCTTCACCCTGTGATCCAATAGTATGCATCAGTCGTAAACCTTGTAAATCTAGTGAAAATCCGAACACAAATATGCATGCCTTTTAACAGCATATTTACACAGCGACAGTATACCTATATATACAGGTGGCGTACCAGGAAGACAGTCGACCATGCCCGACAGCGATTGCGTGTTGATAAAATCAGATTAAATACTTGCTTTTCCCCCCGAAATATCACTTGTTTTTGACAGTTTGTATGTTCTGTTCAAATGATTTGATATATCTAGAGATGTATCAAATGATTGATAACGGTGTTAGGATCTACACCGCAACGTCGCATCTATTACAATAAAGTTTTCTATCCATAAAAAAATGTTCCTCTTCATCATACCAGCTTCTAAATGCCACTGAAAGAAGTTATACTGACAAACAACAATGTAGATTACTCATACCAACAAACAACAATGTAGATTACTTATGCCGACAAAACTTACTACTACAAAACATTACTTACGGCTACTCCTCCACAGAAAAGCTGATTGTCATCATAATTCCTGGGTGTTTTGAATTCAAACCTCCACATGCTGGACCGTGAGGGAGGGTCCACCAGCCTCCCATGCCCCCAGACCCCCAGGGCACACAGCGAATACAACCACACACAGGTATAAGCCTGCAACACAAGCCGACCCCAAGGCAACATGGCGAATCAATGTCCAAGTTACTTCTACAGCACGTCCGAATGAATCGTGTCCCTTGGGTATTAATTAATAACCGTAGCTGGAGGATGAGGATGACGTCGTGGAAATGATAGCCCGAGTAGGTATTTGGATGACTGATGGTGTGATTACTGCGGAAATATTGCTCACGCCCAGCTGGATGTATCCGTCACAGCTCCGTGTTGGGACGACCAGCGTCTCTACATTCACAGTGAGTCAGATGTGTGACAGCGGTTGCTGGGTGACAGTGATTCAAATTCACCTTGCCCACGCCAGCATCCCACAACGCACAGGTATCCTTGCTGAGGAGTGTCTCCAGCGAGGACTTATGATCAATTCAGCTCCGTTGCACAGTGGTCTGAATTTAAACTTGGTCGATGTGTTGGTCCACTGTTCAAGCTTAATGAACTTACTTCCTGTGTGATAGTTTCGTCCAACACAGTCGTTCGCGAGGGTTCCGACAATAAACTCCAGGCTGTTAACCCATCGTGTTGTTCCTGGTTGTTTGCTCATAGCTGACACACAATAACTGCTTTAGGCGCAGGTATGCGGTCGGTTGAAAGACACAAACACCATTCAACCTACGAAGATTCTTCTCGTCTTTAATTTGCTGTCGTTGTTCCAACTGACAAACTTGTTTTGTTTTCTTGCTGAATTTCTATGAAAGGGACAATTTCGCAGGCAGGTGAAATAAAACCTTGGTGACTTTGCTATGAAGGAGCGGTCCCTTGTGTGTGTTATGGCGTTGTGACCTCCGCTCATGATTTAAATAATACCTTTTGTGGTAGTGTTAGTTGTACATGTTAAGCAATGCATGTCCTACTTTACGATGCATATGGAAATGACAGTACAATAGGATGTACATAAGAAATATAAGATGGGTATCAAGCTGTTTCGGCATGAGGTAATTGAACGTAACAAGGTCGTCGTACGGGTTCGAATCTCATTCGATGTGTTACAAAATTACAAATCGTTTAATTATAATTCATATGAAGTCATTCCCTTAATATCGATTATGCGTGTGTGTGAGTATACATATATGGTTCCCATCTGCTAATCTGATTTATTTATCGAAAGCATAATAATTGTTCTACTACTGAACTTACAAGGATATATAAAACAACTAAAACAGCCTCATAATCAATACCTTTCTGTAAAAAATGACCTCAGATCAATATTAATGTAGTGCGGTGTTGTAGATCGGCTTGAATGTCATGTCTATACATAATGTTATACAACCTTAACATAATGGGGTGTGCAGTGTTGTGTCGTGTGGAGCTGTGGTATGTTGCACTGTTGTGTTATCGTATTGTTTCACAGTATGTGGGGTTATAAAATGATGTGCTGATGTTTTTGAATTATAATATTGTCTTGGGATGTATTAGGATGTACTGTGTTACATACGTGTGATGTACTATGTTTTGCTTTATTGTGTTGTACGGGGGCGGTGGCCTAGTGGTTAACTCACTTTGTTGTACTAAATCGTGCTGTATTGTGATGTAGTGCGTTGTTGTATAATACTGCTTTATGTTCTTTTGTGTTGTGCTACCTCATGAAATGTTGCGCTGTACCCTGTTATACTCCGTTGTATGAGGCTAGGTTTAGTCAATTGTACTACGTTGTTCTTCATTGTCGTGCACCACATTGTCCCTTTGTTGAACTACGTGTTGTCACATATTGTACTTTAATGTACTGCGTATATTTGTGATAATCAAGGTTCGATCGTGTATCAGTATGTTGTTTTGTGTTGTGCTGTGCTTTGTTGCAAATAAAGTGGGGTCTTGAAATAAGAACAGTTTGTTATACTGGGTTTTACTGTTGTGCTGATAATCATTGGAATATGCTTTGTTGTATTGCTCTGCTGTGACATGTTGTGCTACTGTGATACTAAGATACTGTGTTACAGAAATACTGTGATACTGTGATACCAAGATACTGTGACATTGTGATACTGTGGTACTGTGATACTGTGATACTGAGATACTGTGATACTGTGATACTGTAATACTGTAATACTGTAACACTGAGATACTGTGATACTGTAATACTGTGATACTGACTGTGATACTGTTATACTGTGATACTGTAATACTGTAATACTGAGATACTGTGATACTGTAATACTGTAATACTGCGATACTGAGATACTGAGACACTGAGATACTGAGACACTGAGATACTGAGATACTGTGATATTAAGATACTGTAATACTGTGTTGCTGAGATACTGTGATACTGTGACTGATATGTCGTGATCGTTCTACACAACACAGGATTGTGTCATTACGTGTGGCATTGTGTCCTGTACCACCAGAATTAGTTGTAATCATTGTAATCAACGCTAATGACACAGTGCAGCTCCTCGCTGCCCCACCTGTATACAGTATTGACTCATGGCTAACTTGCCCCCTACACTACAAACACAGACCAGTGGAAATCTGTTGTTGACCTAAGCTTTATCGTCCCCAAATAACACTGACGTAAAGCCAGATAATGCACGCATGCATATTTGGTTTTCCTCTTGTATCCATTTTGCCGTATAACCTTGAGAAATATGACGAATATCACACTCCCATGGGTGTCGTGCAATGTTTGAATTTCTGATATGAAACTCCGGAGAACATTTGCATTTTACACATGGCGTTAGAATTCCAGCTGCTATTTGGAAGGTCAGTTCGTCCTGGGATTACAATATCATAGCAAATACGATGAATTTGTTCCTGGTGTGAGGCGTGAACTGGTATTTCTAGACACGAATCTCTATAGACGAATTGTATTTTTTTAACAATTCTTTTACGTTAAATGAATTGCAAAAAGGTCTAACAAATAATATTTTTGTTTAATCACAAATATTAAAGCCCAGTTCAGTTGGATTGACACCAATAGATAAGGTATTCCTTCGTGGCCCTTTATGGACATTTTGTATTACTTGCACTGTGGGTTGAAATATAATTATTCTGATTCGAACGGAAATGGAGCCGTATGCATCTATCTGTTTAAATTTATGCAGTGACTGTAGTAACTGCCCTATATCTCCCCACTGGAAACCATAGAGTAACAGGAAATGGTCAACGGGCAACATGGCAAGAACCCAATTCCAGAAATGGTTGAATTGGCGAATTATGAGAATTATGCGTTTTGAAATTAGAGGTTGTTATAAGTTACATAGGCGAGATACCTCTCATTTATTCCTTCGAAATTTGTGTGACTGAGTTTACGTTTACGCCGCTATTAGCAATATTCCAGCAATATCTCGGCGGGGGCACCAGAAATGGACTTCGCATATTGTACCCATGTGGGGAATCGAACCCCGGTCTTCGGCGTGACGAGTGAACGCTTTAACCACTAGGCTACACCACCGCCCCCTTCCAAATTAAAATAGATTTATATATATTACCAGTTAGACTACCAAATTTCAAACTATGGAGGTTTTGTCTCTTTTCTATACTACCCATCAAAAGTTTAGACTCACTAGTGTAAATACATGCATAGCCATTAATATTTACTTCAGTCAACTGTTCTAAACTAGATTTTGCAAAATAGTCCATACTGTTTAAAATATTACTGATTACACATGAACTGATGTATTGTAAAACAAATGTGTAACGTTGAAAAGATTATTTCCTTGAGTTTAATAAATGATGAAACTCAGTGAAAATTGACGAATCCTTAACAGAACTTTACACCAAAACGCAGCTGATCACATGCACGATATATCCAAATGCTTTTCAGCAATTTGATGCATGATCCTCGTGCAATTCATCTGCATAAGGGCTGAAGTTAGTTCCCTCAAACTAGTGGAGAAATTCATCTTCGATGTAACCATACATATCTACAAAACATATAGTGAGTCTAAACTTTTGATGGGTAGTATATATCTCCACAAGTGGTGTGAAACGTACGTACATTTATAAAACGTTATAAAACACACCGAAACGATCTGGAGGTCATATGTCGTGACAAACATAATAATATATTACTACAGTTTAAGATAAAGGACTTTTTATCTAATATTCGCACACAAATGCAAAATATATGGTTTCCTTAAGAACAAGTTTCAAAAAGAATTGATGACCCCACACCCACCCCCTCCTCCCGTGAAGATCTGGGTTAGAATTGGCCTTCAGTAACCCATGCCTGGCGTAAGGGGCGACTAACGGGATCGGGTGGTCAGACTCGCTGACATGGTTGACACGTGTTAACATATACCAATTGCGTAGATCGATGCTCATGATTTTGATAAGTGGATGTCTCGTCCAGACTCGATTATTTCCAGGCCGCCGCCATGTAGCTGGAATATTGCCGAGTTCGGCGTTATATTGCTGAGTTCGGCGTTATATTGCTGAGTGCGGCGTTATATTGCTGAGTGCGGCGTTATATTGCTGAGTGCGGCGTTATATTGCTGAGTTCGGCGTTATATTGCTGAGTTCGGCGTTATATTGCTGAGTGCGGCGTTATATTGCTGAGTTCCGGCGTTATATTGCTGAGTTCGGCGTTATATTGCTGAGTTCGGCGTTAGTGCGGCGTTATATTGCCGAGTTCGGCGTTATATTGCTGAGTTCGGCGTTATATTGCTGAGTGCGGCGTTATATTGCTGAGTTCGGCGTTATATTGCTGAGTGCGACGTTATATTGCTGAGTTCGGCGTTATATTGCTGAGTTCGGCGTTATATTGCTGAGTTCGGCGTTATATTGCTGAGTTCGGCGTTATATTGCCGAGTTCGGCGTTATATTGCCGAGTGCGGCGTTATATTGCTGAGTTCGGCGTTATATTGCTGAGTGCGGCGTTATATTGCTGAGTGCGGCGTTATATTGCTGAGTTTATATTGCTGAGTTCGGCGTTATATTGCTGAGTGCGGCGTTATATTGCTGAGTTCGGCGTTATATTGCTGAGTGCGGCGTTATATTGCTGAGTTCGGCGTTATATTGCTGAGTGCGGCGTTATATTGCGAGTTTATATTGCTGAGTGCGGCGTTATATTGCTGAGTGCGGCGTTATATTGCTGAGTGCGGCGTTATATTGCTGAGTGCGGCGTTATATTGCTGAGTTCGGCGTTATATTGCTGAGTTCGGCGTTATATTGCTGAGTGCGGCGTTATATTGCTGAGTGCGGCGTTATATTGCTGAGTGCGGCGTTATATTGCTGAGTGCGGCGTTAAACAACAAACCAACCAAACCAAACCAACCTCCTCCCCGTAGATATATATTCACGTTCATATTTGCACTGCTTAGATTTTATTTTGTTGAATTCTTAGAATTCGTAGAATTCAACAGGGCATGACAGATTTTAGATGCTTCCGTTCACCCAGCTGCGACTTAGTACACACTCTTCTGATCAAATGCTTTGCATTCAACAGGTACCTTGTGGTGGTGTATACTCCCCGGGGAGATGAGAAAGCAAATGAATATCCACTAGTTAACCAGGATGAAAATGTACTGGCAAGAGCACCTCTTAGGGCAAGGACATGGCGCATACATTGCAT